ATGCTCTATATCTTTACCTATGTTACCATTATTGTTTTAAGCATGAGATTTTTTGCCACAAAAACATGGGTTTAAATCACAACTTTGACGTTGTTAATATAACTTGAGATGTCAATTTATAAATTTTTGAAATTAAGGGATCAAAATGAAAAAAATATAGTTAAATGATCATTTATGTAATTTATCTTAAATAATGAGATTTTTTTGTGAAGGGGGGTTGCAGCAATTAATAGGAATGAGTTAAAAGATGGTTAGGTTGATTTAACTTGAATGAGGAGAGTTTTAAGGCTTAAAGCACAAGTTAGATACTAGATCCTAGGCCTAGCTCAATTTGAAGAGTTTTTTAAATTATAAATAATAAAATATCCCTTGACAACCGGTTTAGACCCAGCATCATTTTCTTTCCTATAAACTAGCTTGAGTCAGAGTAATGCTTTCATGCTGAAAAAATATGGTTTTCCTCTTTAACTCAACACTAAGCAAAAAAGGTTAAAATATATATTTTTATTTTAAATTTAAAGATCATAAGAAAACTAAACTCACAATTTAACTATTTAAAGTGGCTGAGCCTGAAACCTCTGTTTACACTTTTAATTTCATTCTTATGTGGAATTGTGAAAGTGTGAGTTTATATATATATATATATATAAATACATAGTAAGTAGGGATGCTTGCGTAGTTCGTGTACAGTAGTAGTAGTAGTAGTGTAGGGTTGGGGTTGGCATGAAGTCATTGTTTTTAGTGTAAAGTAGTTTGATTTTGATAGCTACCGCTGCCCTTATTTTTCTTTCGCTTCGTCCTTCACCCAGCAGTTATGACTTCTCAAAAGCATCATATCTGCTGCTACAAGTCATCCCTCAAACTACCGCTAAGCTCATTTTTCTCTTTTTTTTAATCTTAATTTTTAATATAAATTAAGAACTAAACTTTTAGATTTATTAAACACTGTTTAACTAAGTTCCGGATTCTCTGTAAAAGAAATAAAGATTTTGTCACAATTCTTTGTGAGTTATTTCGCATGTAATTTAAACTTTTCTTTTCTCTCCTCTACTTTTAACCGTTTGCTTTATTTTGCTTGTAAACCCTTGGATTTTTTCTCTGTTCGTTAATGCTTATTAATTGGCCTTCTTATACTTGCACCTTGCAGTGGCTTCTCACTGATAAATTATGAAAAGACAAGTTGAGAAATGAATATAATATTTTATGTTTAAATCAGCCAAACTAAATCCTTATATCCCACGCCTTAACTGGATCTGACTTCATCACTTCACTATATATAAAAATAAAACTAATAAATGATGATAAAAAAACAAGTTGCTTTGCACAATACGTACACTAACTCGGACAACAAATAAATTTGAGAATGCTTTAGAGTCAAGTTTAAACAGATCAAAGCAACGCAAACAAATTAATCAAGTTAATTTGTTTAAATAAAATAAAAATCATCAAAATTAGTTTGAATCCAAACACAAGTTAGATACTATATCCTAGTAGGGATGGCAATTTAGTGGGTAGTGGGTGGGCGTGGATTTAGAAAGTGGTACCCTTCGCGGGTAGTGGACGGGTGATAGGTTTGAGACCTTAGCCGCCCCGCATCCGCCCGCCCACTAAATACTCATTAAATTTTGGATCATTATGAATTTAGATATAATTTTAGAGACTAATTTATAAATCTTAATATTGTATAAGATATAACTTATAATCATTGATTTATTTTATTATGCTTCTTAATAGACGTGTTTGTTTTATGTTTGTTGTTTATGTATAACTTAAGGTTGTTGTCAGGCGAGTCTAGCCGGGTACGTCTCCAGTTGGGTAGTGGGTGTGGGGATGGATTTGGAATGTACCCGCGTGAGTGGGTGTAGATTTAAATTTTTTTACCCATAATGGGTGGTGGGCGGGTGGTAGATTTAAAAATATTAGGCGGGTATAAAGATATGGGAGGGGATATGCTCACCCGACCCGCCCGTTTGTCATTCCTATATCCTATATTATTTTTCCTATAAACTAGCATGAGCCAGAGTAGTGCTTTTATGCTAAAATATATGATTTTCCTTTTTAACCCAACTGTAAGTAAAAAGAGTTAAAAATATAATTTATTATTTTAAATTTAAAAATCTTAAGAGAACTAATCTCACAATTTAACTATTTAAAGTAACTGAGCCTGAAACCTCTGTTTCCACTTTTAATTTCATTCTCATGTGGAATTGTGAAAGTGTGAGTTTATATATATATAACTATAAATACATAGTAAGTAGGGATGCTTAAGTAGTTCTTGTACAATTTGAATTCGATTTTGTCAAAACTCGGTAAAATTTAGATTTGGGGTGACTCAGCTCGAATTTGAGACTTTAATGAGTTGAGCAAAAATCTAGCTCGACTCGATGAATTAGTGAGTAACTCGTAAATATTTTTAATATAACTTTTTATTAATTGTCTTAACAAATTATTTCGTTCAAAAAAATTTACTAATTTACTAATAGATAGTAAAAAATAATTAATTACTAATCTATTATTTTTTAATAAACAAAAAATATTAAATTATTAATTAATATTTATTACACCTAAAAATTAAAGTTTATTTATTATTTTAATGTATTTTTAAATTGTTATTTTAGAGTTTAAACTTCGAAATTACTTTGTATATTTTTTAATTTTTTAAAAATTTAAAATTTATGTTTATATTAAGTTATATATAATATTAGTAGATTTTATCCATAGTTAAGAAAAGAAGGTAAATTTTTAGTAAACTTAATGAGTAACGAGCCGAGCAACGAGCAACTAGTAGAAAAATAAGTTTTTTTTAACGAGCACTAGTCAAGTAAAATTTTGATGAACTTAATGAACAACAAGTCGAGTAAAGTGGAATAACAAAAATTTTTAATGAGCACGAGCTGAATACTGTCCAACTTACTATTCACTCGTTCGATAAACACCCCTAATAATAACTAAGACGTGTAATATATTTTCTCACGTAAATTAATTAAATAAGACTTTAGAGATAATGGATAAATTAACAAACTTTAAAAAATTATTAGGTGCAGCCGATGACTTTGTTTTTATCGTATATCAGGATAGTGAATCTGTTGAATTATGTTTTTATTTTATAAATAATTTTTTTTTGGAACATTATTCTTTTCCTTTCGTTGCTTTAATTTTATAAATTTTAAAAAGTTAATAAAAACACATATTTCTTTATAAAAAGGGGAAATCACACATTTAATATTTACACTATCAGTTTTGATCCGTTTTAGTATTTAAACTTTCAAAATTTTCAAAACTATGCCTAACGTTTAGTTTTTCATTTTATTTTAGTATCTCACCATTAAAATCTTAATGCGTTTAGTACTTAAACTATTAGTTTTGATCCGTTTTAGTACTTCAACTTTCTTTTTCCCCCCAAAACTTAACGTTAAATTTTGAACGGGAGTACTATAATGAAACATAAACTAAACTTTAAGTATAGTTTGGGAAAAAATTGAAAGTATTTATTAAAATATATCAAAATTGATAGTTTAGATACTAAACTGTAATTTACCCTAAAAAGATAAAAATTGTGGGTACAATACTAGAAGTGAAATACTGTACATTGAATAATCTACCAGAAGAATTAGGGATGGGATACAAAAATGATAATGAACACAAATTAAAGCAAATTAATTTTGTTGGGCGAGAAGCATGAGGATTAGACATTCGTCTAAGAATAGCAAACATGACCCAAACAAAAGACACGTGACATTACTAATTTTGCACTTACACCTTTTTCCCCCCCTAACATCGTTAATTAATCTTTACGATTTTCATTTGGTGTTACACCCAACTTACGTTCATTTGGGGCTTTAAATTTTATCAGATTTTTTTTATCAAATTAAAAGATATTAATTTATTGTTTTTTTAGAATTTTTTAACATTTAATTCGGATATTAATTAAATATCACTAACTTATTTGAGTGTTTATTAAACACTAAACCCAAATTAATTAATAGATCGCGGTGCCTTAAATTTATAAGTTGAAATTTAAGCAAACCCTATTAAATTTATAAGGAAAGAAGCTGGTATTTTTAATTGTGTATGACATACGGATGTGGTGGGGGGAAATTGTTTTAATTATCTTATACATGTGGTGGCGAAAAATATCAATATTAATCACGAGTTAAATAAAGAGGAGGGGAAAAAAGAGCGAAAAATAGTCACAGAAGCCATGTGTTAACACATACTTTTAAGGCTTATGAAGTAAACAATAACATCCTCTGTTGAACAAAAGCCCACTTGACATCACCATATCCAAATATGCAACCTTTACAGTTTGACAGTTGATGAGTTGTGTCCCTTTCTTTTATTGTTGGATGGGGTAAACACCCCCCCCCCGTTACCCTAATTGCAGCCTTTTCCCACGAGCTTTTCATGAGAAATGAGGGTAGCTTCGTTTGCTCTTAACGTGCTGTTCATCTCTTTGTTTTTTAATTAATTTTAATTATTTTGGGCGTATATATATTTTGTAACTTACTCGGCTGCCAAACTGTGTGCGATAAAGTTAACACCAACTGAATTGAGCTTTTGCCACTTTTTTCAGCACCCTATATGTCGCCGCCACCTAATTCTCAACTATAATCTTTACCTACACTATTTGTCATCGCATCCTTAATTAAGATACTACCAAATATTTAGTTGATTTGACAATTTTAATATTTATTTGTTTATTGAAAATGATATATAATTGTTTTTGTAATTATAAAATCAATGAAATGATTAATATTTTTATTTAATGATTTATGCTTTAAAAAAAACAAAAAAGGTGAAAATAAAGCCTTTTCATCCTACTAGAAATAAAACCTTTGAAAGTTAGAAACCAAAACATATGGTGGTGGTAACTATTCACGGGGCGGCTTTCTTAATACTAGAAAAGTTTTTGAATGTATACCAACAACCCCTTTATCACCCGTTCGCTATATATAAAACTCCCACTACTCTCTCCATCTTTGCTTCGTTTATCTGTTTTCTGTAGCTCCTAGTCTGTTACTTTGTTAGGTTACCTGGCTTATTTCGATTTTCTTTTCTTTATCTTTGAGGGAGGGGTGGATATGCAAGCTCAAGAGGAATTTGATCATCAAGGCTTGGTCATAAAAGGCAAGCGTACCAAGCGTCAAAGGTCGTCGTCCCTGTTTGGCCTCACTGTGACTTCTAGCTCGTCCAGTGCTTGCGGAGGTGACGGCGTGGCGGAGGAATATAACTCCATATCGTCTCCGGTGACTTCCGATGAGATTTATGAGAGCACCGAGGAGGAGGAAGACATGGCTAATTGCTTGATCATGTTAGCACAAAGTGATGGTCCGAAAAGGAGGAATATTGATGAGAAATTCGAGATGGTTACTGCGATGACAAACAAGGGTGGAGCTTATGCTTACGAGTGTAAAACTTGTAACCGATCGTTCCCATCGTTTCAAGCACTAGGAGGGCATAGGGCAAGCCACAAGAAGCCCAAGGCAGGCATGGCGGATGAGAATAAACCACTTGTTTCTGCGGTCAAAGATCAGGCTGTTGAAGACGCTGATCAATTCAACAGAGAAAATCCTGCAATTGTTGCTTTACAGGTAAGCTACAACAACAACAAGGCTAACTACTATGGGAACAAGGGTAATAAGATTCACGAGTGTTCAATCTGTGGCTCTGAATTCTCGTCCGGTCAAGCCCTTGGAGGCCACATGAGACGGCACAGGGCGGCGGCTGCCAGCAATCAAGCTGCCGTGAGTGTTGATACTACTAGCAGTCCAACTGAGTCCAACAGTGGCGATGGAATCAAGCCTAGAAATATTCTATCACTGGATCTTAATCTCCCTGCACCAGAAGATGATCCAATAGAATCCAAGTTCCAATTCGGAGCACCCCAACAAGCTATTGTTTTCTCCACACCAGCTTTGGTAGATTGCCATTACTAAATCCAAAAAAAAAAAAAACTCCTGAATCAATATAATTAGTATTATTTCAATTCAATACTATTTGCAACTATCAACTGTAATCTTTGACTTTTTTTAATAATTTTTTTGGGTTCTTATTTTTGATGATCTACTTGTTGAAGTTGAGTACTTTGAGCTAGTAAGTGGTTAGTGTTCATGGTTGCCTTCCATTCACGAAAAGTGGGTGATTGAAGCATATTTTATTTCCATTAAAATTTTATCATTTTTTATAATAAAATCAAAATCTGAAAATAGAAGAAGACAAATTAAAAGACAGAAGAAATATGGGGGGATGGCATTGGGTATCAAGGGTTTGGCAACCCCACCACCACCACAACCTAAAGTCGTGGATTAGGTTATCTTTCGTTTGTGAGTTTCATTAACAAAGCTAAAAGTACTCTTTAATATATATTCTTTCCTTCACTCTCGCAGTCACTCTCTCTCACTACATGCCACAGTCTGTTTCATTAAATGACAGAGAATAAATGGATGGCAAAGCTGAGTTGTTAACTGCCCAACTTCTAGATCACAACATTTATTATTCTTTATTTTTTTAATGACCTCTTCCTGCTTTAATGCTTCTGCAGGTTAAGCTAGATCCCATTTATATTTTTTCTATTAATATATTTATCATTATTGTTGAAAATATGTAAGGTTCATTGATTATCAGTAAAAATAATAATAAGAAAAAAGTATTAAAAAGAAAATGAAAATGAAGTACCACACACCTAATCAACTACCTACAATATCCCTTAGTTTGCAAGTCACTTAACTGAATTGACATTACCACCCATAGTCCATTTTATCATTATTTAATCTAATGAATTCTCATAAATATGAAAGCATGGCCTTAATGAATTTACTCACTTAGTTGTGTATAAATGGAGTTTGTTAAGTGCACGTCTAGGTAAATGTTGGTAAGCAAATCATGTGGACACTTTGCGTGAGATCATGTCCAAATATAAAGAGAAACAGATAGAAAGATCATCATCTTTGACATCTGCACATGTAGCTGCCTTGTCGTATATATAACCAGCTCCCAATTTTATTCTCATCAAATTATTTTACATAATAAACAAAGGCCTTCTCCCATTTTCATTTTCTTACTCAACTGTTCAAACTTATTACCTAATTTAGCTTTGTTTTGTGGAGAGAAAATGTCATTATTACATCAATAATGCTTTCCCCTCGATACTTGGATGTAAGTATCAATTCTCAATGTCAAATTTTAAAAAATCATAATTCAGTAGACTATTTTGGTGTTGGTACTCGCCTTAGTACCGATACTCATCAAGCATAGTATTGATACTCTCTTTGGAATATCGATACTATTTTTTGAAAATTTTTGAAGAGTTATATAGATCCAAGATCACAATGGAAAGGGAGAAATACCCAAATGTTTAAGGATTAGAGTCACTCGCACGAGAGCACTGAATCATACTTATTACGGGTGACTCGCATAGGATTCCCGAAGGATTAGATTGACTTGCACGGGAGAACCTAATCATACTTATTTTGGGTGACTCGCATGAGAGCCCCGAAGGATTAGAGTGAATCACATAGGAGCACCTAATCGTATTAATTTCGATTTATGGAAAGTTATGCATCTCATGGGAAATGGGAAATAGAGACAGAGAGAGAGAGAGAGAGAGTAAATTGCAAAACATCATCTTTGTTAACTACTAAATTATTAGTCTATGAGTTATTTAGAACATTTTTTCATTATTGGGCAAATCAACTCACTCTTCCAAAGTTTTCCCTCATCGGAATACTAGTCGTAGATTTTAGTTGGGAGCGTCATCTCTGTTGAATCATGACACCTGTTTAGAGTACACTTCTAGATTTTGTTGGAGTTGTCGTATCCATGTATGTATATTTGTATGTAGTTAATGTTAATTTGTGTTAAACCATGAGACATGTTTTGGAATGGGTGACTACCTTATTTATTTTTGTAAACTTTGAGTTTTGGAGCTCTTATAATTTAATGGTTTGGAAGTCACAAATGTCTTTCTTCATGAACGTAGTTATGTTAATTATGTCGATTTCTTTTATATAAGTCTATACTGATCTCTTATGAGTAGCATCGTGGACCTTATATGGGTAGGTGTTACATTTATTGGTATCAAAGCGTCAGGTGTTAAGACGATGCTAGGACCCGTGTTAATGTTGTATGCGTGAATACGTGGATACGAACACCAGAGTCGGATGTACTCTCTTATAAATGGGATTTTGACGGCGTTCTCCTTATCTTTTTTATTATAGAAAAATTAGATAAAGAATGGTAGATGAACCTATTGGGAGCCAAGAGGCTCGTAATGAGAGCCAAGTATCCATCTCAAATGACTCAGGAGATGATTTTGTTCCAGATTCTGGGGAGGCGGATCTTGAGGGATACATTGGGGTAGCAAAAGCGGTGTACTTCCAAACCTCAATGCAACTTTACAAAGAATCTTAAGGGCTACACCTAGAATTTAGTCGGCTCTGACTGTGCCTATTTCTGTACTAGTACCCTAGACACTCGTGGAGAGTCTCAGACGATAAAAAACTGTAGAATTTAGCAAGGATGACCCTACTGTAGCAGATCAATGGTTGCATGAAACTCAAAGAACCCTAAGGCAATTACATTTGACTCCAGAGGGAAACCTGGAGTATGCAGTCTCTTTCTTAAAAAGGATGCTATTAATTGGTGGAAAACTGTTAAAATGACCTTGCAGCCATAACAACCAACTTGGGAACGTTTCCGAATGAATTCCTTCAAAAGTATATTAAGGAGGCCCATATGGATGATCTCAACGGTATTGGTTCCTACATATGCTAAGATGCCGTAGATTTCTAGAAGGGTTATAATCATACTTATTTCGAGTGATTCACACAAGAGTCCTGAAGGATTAGAGTGACTCATACAGAAACACCTAATCGTTTTTATTTCGATTTATGGGAAGTTATGGAGAGTAATTACAAAACATCATCGTTGTTAACTACTGAATTGTTAGCCTATGAGTTATTTAGAACGTTCGTTCATTACTGAGCAAATTAGCTCACTCTTATAATGTTTTCCCTCCTTAGAATAGTAGTAGTAGATTTCAATTGGAAGCGTCATCTATGTGGAATCCTGACACCTATTTCAGAGTATACTTCCAGATTTTGTTGGGTCTGTCGTATCCATGTATGTATATTTGTATGTAGTTAATGTTAATCTGTGTTAAATCATGGGAGATGTTATGGAAGGGTGACTATCTTATTTATTTTTGTAAACTTTGAGTTATTGAACTCTTATTTTCATGAATTTAATGGTATGAAAGGCACAAATGTCTTTCTTCATGAATGCAAATATGTTAATTGTGTCTATTTCTTTTATATAAGCATGCATTGATCCCTTATGAGTAGCACTGTTGACCCTATATGGGTAGGGTGTTACATATAAACTCACTCTCAATGTGTTAATTGCTACACTTTTTGGGAGATATACATACTTGCACTGGTGTAAGTGTGTATTAAGTTATACATTTTTTTATTTTATTTCACTAACATCATTGTAAGCATGCGTTAAGTGCTACATATTTTGAGAGATATACATTCACATACCAGTGTAAGTATGTGTTAAGTGCTATATTTTTTTATTTTATTCACTTACACTGGTGTAAGTATGTGTTAAGTGCTACATATTTTGGGAGATATACATATTTATATTGATGTCAGTATGTGTTAAGTGCTACACATTTTTATTTTATTCACTTACAGTACCAAATATGTAAGTATGTGTTAAGTGCTATATTTTCTTATTTTATTTACTTACGTTGGTGTAAGTATGTGTTAAGTGTTATAATTTTTTATATTATTCACTTATAGTACCAAATATTTTTGTGTTATATTGCATTGTTAAACCTTCAATATGGTTGAAAAAAAATATATAGTTGCCTTGTTAACCTTCAACAAAGCTGATCAAAATTTTCATTTAAGATTAAACAAAATATATAAAGTTGAACAAAATATATATAAATTTATGATCGCCTCCTAAAGTAAAGTTGCACAAAATACGATAAAGGACAGTTCGTTTACTAGCTCCTTAAATAGAGTTTAACAAAAAATACAAAGGGACAGTGCATCTACTTCTATGGTTGTTTACTCTTCTACAATCTCTTTATGGTGTCAGTATCATGAAATTTCTTCTTTGTCCTTGTAGGTAATACTTATTCGAATAACAAAGAACAAATACTCAAAAAAAATAAATGTGTTATCAAAATTTAGAGAATGGGTAATTACCTCAAACCAAATGTGAAGACGAAGAACCTCGTTAAGATTAAACCCCTTTCATATTTAAAGAAACCCCACCGATAAAAAAAACCTCAATCTCACGTAAAAATCCATCCTGTTTTTTTTAAAAACTCAATTTGAAAGAAACTGAAGTGAGTAATATGAATTTCTCTCTATTTCAACTCAAATCATGAAACTTTTCTCCAATGAACATAGGTCTTAATGCAGATAGAAGAAAAACGAGATCGTTTAAAATCATGTGGAAAATAAGGAGAAAATAGGCTTTATGTTTAAAAATTAAAAAAAAATTAAAGTGTTACGTTTCATTTTGTTAGTGGTCATAGGATTCCACGTCACATTCTATGAAGGAAGTGGGTGAAATCATTAAATGTAGAAAACATCATGTATGAAATCAATAATTTTAAAACATTATGTATGAAACTGAAAGTTTAATATACTTCATGTATGAATGGGGTAATTAACTATTTTTATAATATTGCAAAAGTCAAACAAGCTATTATGCCGAAGTAGAACCACATCTTGTTGAGATTAGGCATGTACCACATCTTGTTGAGAGTGGCATGTGCCTTCCCTAAAATTTAATTTTTTTTCTATTAGTTATTTATTTTATTGATAGTGTCCACCTTAAAATTTTTCGTATCCACCCAAAAATATGAGTTTTCTTTGATTAATTGCTTATTTTACAAACGGCGTCCACCCTGAATTTTATTTGTACACATCCCATTTAATTTTTGTTGTTAAATCCATAGAGAGAATTATTGAAAAATGCATATGTATTTTTTATTTCACATACACACATATATATATATACTGCCTCTAATCTAACTAATCTCTAACCAGTCTAATAATATTGTAACTATCTTAAATGATACACTCCCCCTCAAATTGGTAGCTAAAGATATTCTTAACTCACAACTTGCCCAAAAGAAAATCATGTTGTTGAACTCCCAAAGCCTTTAAGTATCTGTTAACTGGTTATTAGAGGATACATTTATGTACAGATTAACCCTTTTTGAATTTTATATCTAACGAAAAGACAATAAATTTCTACATGTTTAGTCTTCTCATGGAAGATAAGATTTTTTATGCAATTTGAATAGCAGTATTGGTTTTACAATAGAGCTTAGTAGGTTCCAGTTTTTCTCCAAGCTCATGCAACAGATTTCTCAGCCAAACAATTTCAATAGCCACCATTGCCATACTCTTATACTCTGTTTCTTCTGACGAACAAACCATAGTGACTTGCTTCTTTGAGTTCTAGGACACCAGAGATCCACAAATCTTGATACAGTAGCCTGTAATAGATCTCCTAGCCATCAAACAAGACCCACAGTTTGCATCGCAGTACGCCTCCAGCTGAACATACCCTGAAGACCGAAGCAATATTCTTTGACCAGATGTCTTCTTAACATATTTAAAAATCCTCATGGCTGCTTCCAAATGAGATCTTTTTGGATGCTGTAAGAACAGACTCAGATGATGGACAACATACATAATATCTGACCTTGTATGCGTCAAGTATGGTAATCTTTGAATCAACCATTGAAACACTCCATTTTCAGTTCCTAAGACCTCATTCTCAATCTGTTGTGAACCTTTTTTAGTTCCTAAAACTTCATCATATTCCACTGTCGTAAACTTCAAACGCTGCTCCATAGGAGTTGCAACAGGTTTGGCTCCCCCTCGGCTAGTATCTCTGATTAATTCCAGCGCATACTTCCTCTGACTTAATAAGATACCTTCCTTAGATCGAAACACTTCAAAACCAAGTAAATACTTCACGGCCCCTAAATCTTTCATTTTGAAGTTGAGATATAAAATGTCTTTTAACTCCTTAATTATGGCATTATTATTACCAATCAACATCAGATCATCAACATAGATTAGCAGAACCACTCTTACTTTGTAAATAAAGAGTATGAATCCTTATATTTTTCTGAATAAAGAGTAATCACTCTTACTTTGTAAATAACTTACATCAGCTAAAGCCTCACTTAGCCTAATATTCCGCTGTCTAGACGTTAGTTTCAAGCCATAAATTGACTTTTGTAGTCGACAAACATGTTGTTCCCCCGACTACAAAAACCCTCAGGCAAACACATATACACTTCCTTATTCAAATTGCCTTGAAGAAACGCATTATAAACGTCCATTTGAAAAACAATACAATTATGAAGAGCAGTAACAACTAAAACAGAAAGAACCGAGACAAACTTGACAACTGGTGAGAAAGTATCACTGTAGTCAACACCCTCCTTTTGAGTGAAACCCTTAGCAACCAAACGCACTTTATAACACTCAACCTCCCCCGAAGACTTTTTTTATTTATTTTGTAAACCCACTTCCAATCAATGGGCACCTTTCCTTTAGGCAAAGGAACAACAAACCACATGTTATTTGATTCTAAATATTGAATCTCCTCGTTCATGGTTTGAATCCATAAAGGATCCTTAAAAGCTTAGGAATAAGTAGTAGGTTCAATAAGAGCAGAGGTAAGAGAAACAAAAGATTGAGTAGTTGAAGGTAAATGAATCTAGAAAAGAGAGGAGGAAATAAGATACTGGCTTGAAGAAGAGGATTGGCGATCAGTAGACGTAACATAATCATTAAGCCAATCTGGAGGTCTCACAGTCCTAGAAGACTTTCGAAGACAAGGAACAGGAATCAGTAGTGTAGGAACGAAATTGAGAGGTTGAGCAGGACTACTTATTGAAGCTGAAAAATCTGGAGCAAAAGAACTTTAAGGTGACGATATTAAATCATTAAAAAACAAAGGAAACTATTGAAAAGATTGAATGAAAGGCATAAAAGAACACTGTTGAGAAGAAACATGATTAAGAACAAGAAAATCAGAATCTGCAATATTAGGTTGAGAAGGAAAAAGTGGATATGTGAATGAACCCATAGAAGAAAAAGGAAAAATATGTTCATGAAATTGAACATCCCTATTAATGAAAATGGTTTTAGTAAGAAGACTAAACAAGACATAACCTTTTTGTGTTGGAGAATAACACATGAAAACTGAAGGAATGGCTTTTGGAGAGAATTTATCTGTAAAATTCGTTTAAGTTTAATAACACAAACACCCAAACACACGAAGATGAGAAAGAGGGGGTTGTTTGTTGGTAAGCATTTCAAGTGGTGATTTCCAATGAAGCACAGAAGATGGTAAGCGATTTATGATGTAGCAAGCACTTAACGTACATTCTCCCCAGAATTTCACAGGCACTCAAGACTGAAAACGAAGAGCTTAAGCAATTGCTAACAAATGACGGTGTTTTTGTTCAGCAACCCCATTTTGTTGTTGGGTGCGAACATAAAAAGTCTATTGAAGAATACATAGGAAGAAAAAAAGAGTGGAACATGCTGAACTAAAAAATTCAGAACCATTATCGCTAGGAATAACTTTGATAGTGACATTATACTATTTTAAACAACCACAGAGAACTTTTTCAACGAAAGACAAGCATAAGATTTCAGTTTCAACAAGAAGACCCAAGACATCCTTGTGTAATCATCTATAACGATCAAGAAAAACTTATGAACCCATGGATAGATATACAATACGGTCCTCATAAATCTATATGAATGGTGTGAAAAGAATGAGGAGCACGAGAAGTGCTTAAAGGAAATGGCAAATGACACTGTTTAGCTAAGGGACGCACAGGACAGTCGTGTATAGAGTCATGATTAATATGAGCAGTAGAAAGCAAATGTACCTTAGACAAAGTGGAAACAGAGGTACTGCCTAACCGGACATGCCAAATATCCTAATCATTATTATTATGAGAAGAAGACATACATTGAGCATCACCAACAAACAAATTGAAACAAGAATGAGAAGTAAAAGACTCAAACACATACAGTTCCCCTGACTGTCTTCCAATCCCTTTCATCATGCCACTGGAGTGATCCTGAAAAGTGCAAAAATCAGGTTAAAAAACAATAGAACAATTCATTTCAAGGGTTAATTTTGAGATAGACAGTAAGTTTTGAGTAAAGCGAGGAACATATAGAATATCTCGAAGAACAAAGCCAGAATCAAGAACTACTGATGCAATATGAGATATGGGGGCAGTTTCACCATTTGGCAAATGCACAAACCGAGATGAGGAAACACATGAAATATGATCTTTCAAGCTATTAAAATCATATAACATATGATCCGTCTCACCAGTGTCCAAAATCCAAGTGTAACAGGTAATCATCGCGAAACCATACCTGCTAAATTTGCAGCAGCCTCAATCGGTGACTCCTTGTGTAACAGACTCAACAGTTAGGAATATTGCTTAGCGGTAAGCATAGGAGCAGCGCAAAGAACCGAGGATGAAGGCACGGGTGAACCCTGAGTCGAGTCTTCAATAGAATCAGAATTGATTGTAAGAGTTGCCTGAGGAACCTTATGCTTGGTGAACTTAAAGTTGGAGGAAAAACTATAAGCCTGTAACATTGATCCCTCATATGACCTTTAACTTTGAAAAAGTCACATACTCCCTGAAACCGAGCACGACGAGTACCATAATTCCCATAAAAATTGGAATGCAACGCCACAGAATCAGAAATGGGTGTAACACCTTAAAGATAACCCCGTTGTCATTCCTCATGAACGATTACAGAATAGGCTTGATTAACCGATGAGAGCGGAGTCATGATCAATATCTGACTTCAAATAGCAGAGTAGGTCTCGTTGAGACCCATTAAAAACTGGAAAAGTCACTGATGAAAAACATGTTGCATGTTCTGCGCAAAATTCTCACAACTGCAAGAAATTGGAACCAAAGCAGCGTAACCATCCCAAAGAAGCTTCAATCGTGTATAATAGGTAGGGACCAAAGATTTGCCCCGAGTATGAATCGCAATTTCTCGTTGCATGCATATTCACAATCTTGGCTTACATGAGTTATTATTTCAACATGGCAAAGAGGGGATGATGCGTTTTTAATGCGAATTATGTAATGTTGGAACGTAATTCATAATAAGTTTCCAAATTATAATTTTTATTTTGCTTGAATAATTCAACTGCCAGACATTTAAGAGCTGTTTAATCTTTCAAATCCATATTAATCAATATAATGAGTATTCGATATCCATTATACGTGAAGTTTAAGCCTCCTTTTTTTTTCATAACATGTATTAACATCCTCGAGCAATAACTGAGAGATGGGAATTCTAGATAGAGCCTTGGCATCCTCCCATTTGAAAATAATCATGCACTTCAACTATGAATATGTTCTCAATATCTACTTCAGAGTAATGGCAGATCTATATAACCGATGTGTATCATGAATAGGATATATACTTGACTAATTCATATTTTATTATCAAAAATCAATAAAATCACATTTTGACCACCCTAATGTTATATTTCCTGTATCTTCTTTAATTATTTCTCAAGTATGTTTATGTTTGTCTCAAAATTATCATGTAGGAAAATATAATTACGTGAGTAAAAAGGAAGTTTGAATTTCAATCGTAACTTGGAGATATATGATTGGTTGTCACAATTTCAAATTTCAACACCCAAACACTTCACCCGCGAAAACGCTATAATCCAGCAAAAAAGTTGAAGTTTTGGAAATGAAACATAACCCCGCTTAAACTTTTAAAGTTCGACGACGAAAAAATCCAATCCCATCCTCTTAAATCCAACGGTTCCTACTTCACACGTCATCGATCCTTGCAAATCAATATCTACCAATCACATCTCGTCCTTCTCCCTATATATAATGAATTCAGGTACCCCTCCATCAATCACATTCAATACCAAAGTATTCCAGTATTGTCTTTGTGAATCAAATTCCCAAATGGCGCCAAAAGCAGAGAAGAAGCCCGCCGAGAAGAAGCCAGCAGAAGAGAAAAAGGCCGAAAAGGTTCCGGCGGAGAAAAAGCCTAAAGCCGAGAAGAAACTGCCCAAGGAAGCCGGTGACAAGAAGAAGAAGCGATCCAAGAAGAGCGTTGAAACCTACAAGATCTACATCTTCAAGGTTCTGAAGCAAGTTCACCCTGATATTGGGATTTCGAGCAAGGCAATGGGGATAATGAACAGTTTCATCAACGACATTTTCGAGAAGCTTGCTCAGGAATCTTCGAGGCTAGCTCGTTACAATAAGAAGCCGACGATTACGTCTCGGGAGATTCAAACGGCTGTGAGGTTGGTTCTGCCTGGGGAGTTGGCTAAGCACGCTGTTTCTGAAGGGACTAAGGCTGTTACCAAGTTTACTAGTTCTTAGGTTTGGGGGAATATGTTTCGTTGTATAATTAGTAGCACTTAGGGTTGATTCGTCTATGGCGTTTCTGTATTTCCAGATCTTAAATTGAGATATAAATATATTGGATTTATTAGCTGTTTTTGACCTTCTCTGCATTCTTCTCATTAAAGTATATGGAAGATTTCTTCAAGAAAAGCTGAGGTTTGACTTTTGCCGGAATTCCTTGGTTCCACAGTGTAGTAGATTAATGACATAGATTGAATGTCTGTGAGATGAAAGACTTTTGCAATCTTTGCCAGACTTCTAACAAATACTGTATATAGTATTTGTGCCATTGCAAAGTACACGTTCATAGCAATTCTATATTAGCAGGTACATACGTAGGGCCTAATTTCTTTATACAATTTGCAACGTGGGGTTTACATTGATTAATCAGTCAACAACGATTTGAAATTCCGAAGGACCAATAACCACGTTTTCAATCTCCAGGTGAAGTGTTTTAGATAATGAACAACACTTGATGACAAGCTTTCTCCCTATCTGTTTGATCACTATGAAGCTTGTCGATTTGTAAATCAAAAGATGATGAATTGGAATGAAAGAGCAAAGAGAGATACCCATTCTAGGAGTAGAGAATTTCACCTCATTGTATTGTTGCATGTACCTCTTTCAAAAGTGAGCAAAAAGAAAGGAAAAACTTAAATAACTAAGAAAACAGATGAGGACGAGAAAGATTTGAGGAAAAACCCAGAAATGATAAAGGAATGAAAGGGAAGGAGAAAATTTTGGTTAGATTATCGTAGAAGAAGAGGGGGTTTTAGATATAAAATTATTGTTTAAGGATTTATATGATGCTTTAGCAATAGTTTAGGGGTAAAATAAAATTATAATTTTGTTAACGTTAACACATCATCAATTTAACGGTGAAGACGATAGAGTGACTATTTTGTTATAAATCTATAACATTAGTCAGCAATTTGTTACCTTTGAAAACTTCAGTGAAGAAAATGAAAATCCACTCAAATATCAGTGACCGTTTGTGTAGTTTACCTTTGTTTTATTAAGTAACAACAATTATTTTGACAACGTAAGCAGCAAAATGAATTGAAAAAGAAAACACACCAAATCACAAAGTTTAACAATGCCTTGATCAAATCTTAACTTAAAAGGGTGACATCTGCAAAAATAGTGGGATCAAAGCACCAAAAATATATTTCTTATTTTTAAAATCTAAAGTTCTCAGGATTTTGAATTTAAAACTTCAACTCTTTTAACTGTTGTATACCCCAAAATATAGTCATGAATCCATGGTGGTATATTAAAAAAAGTATCTTTTGGAGATACTATGGAATAAACCCATTATATGCTTCGACAAAGTTCTCCCCACAGCATCGTCTCAACATAATGCTTATCAACCCCAAACCCTATAACCAAACTAGTGTATTGCTTCCTGTCATTATGATTTAGGCTCTGAATAATCAACTTGTAATTAAGAATTCACTTTATCAAAGTTAGAGTGTTCAATTCAATTGATTCAACATGGACAAACGTATAATTTTATATTAGAGAAGCACACTTTAACTTAAAAAATACAAAAATATATTTTAAATATACAATACATAAAAAGAAATCTAAAATATATTAATTTTAGATTTTCAAGTCCAATCCGCCTAGTTACATCTATATCAACACGTGTTATCTTAAAATAATGGGTGACAAGACACATGTATAATTTTGAGAAAGCTACGTGACATATATTTTTCATCATTTGTACTAAAATTCGATTAGAAATCAATTTGAATCAGTTTTACGACGTTAAATCAATTTAGATTTGAGTAGAGTTCAACTAATATGTAACCTCGATACTCTTTTTCCAATGGCTACAGAAAACTGGAAAATCTTGATGGATATTTTAGAAGTAGCACATAAAAAACGATTGACAGATTAAATACTCAAGTGCAGCGTTTCCGATCTTTTTCTCTCTCTCTTGTTTCGTGGGTTGCATGGTGTTCGAGTTCTTAGCCATACCCCGATGGCACGATGGAGCTACTAGTTATAAGCAACAATAAACTAAACAAAATGAGTTGTGCCATACAATTATTTTGGAGGGCTAAAGAAAGCCCCAACATTAAGGCTGATGAAGTACAGAACCAAAAATCACAAATGCAGAGAAGCCAAACCATTGCTCATTCCATACAACATGCACTAAGAAAATATGAAAAGAGAAAAAGTAAACCGCAAACACAAAGATTACTGCTTACCAAAATAGAAACCAACTCCAGGCCATGCCGCGTATGATTCCAATTATATGTAAACAGAAACGACACAGAGAAATGAAACTGCCAAAGGATTGAAGTTGCCCTGTGGAAGAAACCAGCTGTTACAGTGAAGTCTAATGAGTGCAATTCGAAAACCCAGTTTCCTCAATCACGTGATGAAGTGAAGAGATGAGAGATCATCTTCTTCAACTGAAAAAGTGCATGCCAAAGGATTATAGTTGCCCTGTGGCGGGATAAGCTCCTGGAAGAGGTTGAATTCAACCAAACCCATCGATTTCCCCCCATCATATCAAGCTTTTCGCCTTACATATTTATACTCTGCCACCTCCCACCATCATATCAGGCCCTTTTGATTTGCTTACCAAGTTCTTTGGGTGGGGGTGGCACCATGACTAGGTGAAACCACTGCCGATCTCAAAACAGCTCATCAGCATACTCTTGAACGGCTTCTGGCTTCGCTTGGGAAGATATATGTGTGTGTGCGCGTGTGAGGACAGCTTTATAAAAGACGTAAATTAACACCTTCAAACTCGTTGATTGTAAGAATCAACTGAGCTGAAGTTCAGAGATTTGTAGCAAAGTGACTATTTGAAATATGTTTTTTTTTCTCCTAAAAAAGGAAATGACAGCATCTTCCAGGGGATATGCGGCGACCAACTCCATTGGTCCACATTTGGTGACCATTATGCCTTTATTCTTTTGCAACTTTTCTCTGGCATACCGATAAAATAGTACTATATATGATTCAACTATGAAACCATACTACGCGGTGTTGTTAAATCAAATTCATCTTGCTTATAATAAGGACTGGGTGGACGTGTCAGGCGCGTGAAGAGCGCGATTTTTAGCTGCTTACCTCAAAACGCTTTTCTTGGATTTGGAAATGAAAGATGCAGTTCCATCCAATTAATGGCGCGATGCATGCTTTTGAGTTAAAATTATGGTTTTCAGAATCGGATCGATTAGCGAACTGGTCATGTTATCGGTTTATTGGTTTAACCGGTCGAATCGGTCTGATCGGTCGGAAGAATCGGACGACGTTATAATTATTTAAAAAATTAAATAAAAATATCAAAAATATTTAATAAAAAATAATTTTTTATATCACAAGTCATATTCAAAGCAAGTCATAACATATATAAATTAAAAATCATAAAATCAAGTGAAACAAAATGATTCAAATTAACTACAACATAATATTTAAGGTAAAACATATTAAATAATAAATATAATTATATAACTATAATTAAAAAAATAAATTTGGGGCTAAAAAAATCATAACAAAATGATATTGTTTAGTTTATTTTTTTTTTAAAAACAATCCCACATGGCTAATAAACATAGAAGAGCATCCCAAAAGTCTAAAGAGTAAAAATATGAGAACAAAACAATCCCACATTACTAAGAAACATAGAAGAGCATCACAACTAACTTCTATAAATAATAGAGGTAATTTGACATTAAAAATCATGGAGCATTTTGGTGAGCATTGAGTGAACTATTCTTTCACTTCAATCAAGGTCGAATTTTAGGCTTTAATTGAGCTTCTAAATTTTTTTAGTTCAAGCATTTTTGAGTTCAAGTTTTCATATTATATTTCGAGTTCGAGTTGAACTTGATAATTTTTAACTTGTGAGTTTGAGTGGAGTTGAGCTTACTTTTAAAGTTTTCAAGTTCGAGTCGAGCTCAGCAATACTCGAGTTCGACTTGGCTTGTTTAGCAAACGAACGATTCAGCGGTTTTGGCCAGTTCACTAGTAGCGGTTCAACCGGTTTAGATTGAACCGAACTAGACAACGGTTCCCGGTTAAACTGACCGGTCCGGTCCGATTTTCAAAACAATGGTTAAAATTAATATGTAGTTCCTCATCTTATAAATCATTGATTTCAATGTGGCTTTTATAGCATGGAGTGTTTATTAAGTTTTCATGTTTTATCAAAAATGAATTTATGGTAAAAAATCAACCCCATCTCATTACAAAGCACAACATACTCAAATAAATTAGATGTCATTGCTTACATCAATTTAAGTGAAGAATCTTCATTGCTTATATCAATTTAATGGAGCAGGTGGTAATAATATATGACTATGAATATTTCTCAAATTAATATTTGTATGGTGTAGGCTGCATGGTGAAGACTATAAATACCCATTGCATTTAAGTTATGAATCATCTAAAAATTTGAGTGTAGTGTCTTGAATATAAGTTGTGAGCTTTCTATTAAGTGTTTATTTTTCTTCAAATTGTGAGTAGTCTTTGGAAAGTGTTGTAGTGTCTTTTATTGTGGGTAAAATACAAGTAATTTGTTTACTTGTTTGGGTCTAATAATAGTAAATTTAGAGTTGTATACTCTAAGTTTTACTCAACAATTGGTATCAGAGTCATGTTATAAGGTCTCTTGAAATTTCGAGTATGCTCTGTGGATGCAGTTTTTAACTGATCTTCCATATCAGAAAATATTTCTTGAGATTATTGTCGGGGTTATTACAAATCTTGTGGAGCTTCTTTGTGTTTAGAGTAATTTAGTACTAGGCACGTTTGTTACTCAAACTTGTTCGGTGTAGTCAAAGCCTTGCCGTTACGATGGGTGACCTTCAAGTAGTTGGAGGAATCAAGAAGCTCAACAATAAAAACTACAACACGTGAGCAACATGTATGGAGTCATACTTACAATGTTAGGACCTTTGGGAGATTTTCGGTGGTGGTGAAGTTACACAACCGGCGACAGAAGATGCCAATGGCATCTTGCAAAAGTGGAAAATTAAAGCAGACAAAGCGATGTTTGCTTTAAAGACCACAATTGAAGAAGAAATATTGGAGCACATTCGGGATGCTAAAACACCAAAGGAAACATGAGACAGTTTTG